GTTTGTCAAAGATCAGATGGTTGTAGATGTGTGATATTATTTCTGAGGGCTCTGTTCTGTTCCATTGGTCTATATCTCTGTTTTGGTACCAGTACCATGCTGTTTTGGTTACTGTAGCCTTGTAGTATAGTTTGAAGTCAGGTAGCGTGATGCCTCCAGCTTTGTTCTTATGGCTTAGGATTGTCTTGGCAATGAGGGCTCTTTTTTGGTTCCATATGAACTTTAAAGCAGTTTTTTCCCATTCTGTGAAGAAAGTCATTGGTAGCTTGATGGGGATGGCATTGAATCTATAAACTACCTTGGGCACTATGGCCATTTTCATGATATTGATTTTTCCTATCATGAGCACAGAATGTTCTTCCATTTGTTTGTGTCCTCTTTTATTTCACTGAGCAGTGGTTTGGAGTTCTCCTTGAAGAGGTCCTTCACATCCCTTGTAAGTTGGATTCCTAGGTATTTCATTCTCTTTGAAGCTATTGTGAATGGGAGTTCATTCATGATTTGGCTCTCTGTTTGTCTGTTACTGGTGTATAAGAATGCTTGTGATTTTTGCACATTGATTTTGTATCCAGAGACTTTGCTGAAGTTGCTTATCAGCTTAAGGAGATTTTGGGCTGAGACGATGGGGTTTTCTAAATATACAATCATGTCATCTGCAAAGAGGGACAATTTGACTTCTTCTTTTCCTAACTGAATACCCTTGATTTCTTTCTCTTGCCTGATTGCCCTAGCCAGAACTTCCAACACTGTGTTGAATAGGAGTGGTGAGAGAGGGCATCCTGTCTTTCGCCAGTTTTCAAAGGGAATTTTTCCAGTTTTTGCCCATTCAGTATGATATTGGCTGTGGGTTTGTCATAAATAGCTCTTATGATTTTGAGATATGTTCCATCAATACCGAATTTATTGAGAGTTTTTAGCATGAACGGCTGTTGAATTTTGTCAAAGGCCTTTTCTGCATCTATTGAGATAATCATGTGGTTTTTGTCTTTAGTTCTGTTTATATCCTGGATTACGTTTATTGATTTGCATATGTTGAACCAGCCTTGCATCCCAGGGATGAAGCCCACTTGATCATGGTGGATAAGCTTTTTGATGTGCTGCTGGATCCGTTTTGCCAGTATTTTATTGAGGATTCTTGCATCGATGTTCATCAGGGATATTGGTCTACAATTCTCTTTTTTTGTTGTGTCTCTGCCAGGCTTTGGTATCAGGATGATGTTGGCCTCATAAAATGAGTTAGGGAGAATTCCCTCTTTTTCTATTGATTGGAATAGTTTCAGAAGGAATGGTACAAGCTCCTCCTTGTACCTCTGGTAGAATTCGGCTGTGAATCCATCTGGTCCTGGACTTCTTTTGCTTGATAGGCTATTAATTATTTCCTCAATTTCAGAGCCTGCTATTGGTCTATTCAGGGATTCAACTTCTTCCTGGTTTAGTCTTGGGAGAGTGTAAGTGTCCAGGAATTTATCCATTTCTTCTAGGTTTTCTAGTTTATTTGCGTAGAAGTGTTTATAGTATTCTCTGATGGTAGTTTGTATTTCTGTGGGGTCGGTGGTGATATCCCCTTTATCATTTTTTATTGTGTCTATTTGATTCTTCTCTCTTTTCTTCTTTATTAGTCTTGCTAGTGGTCTGTCAATTTTGTTGATCTTTTCAAAAAAACCAGCTCCTGGATTCATTGATTTTTTGAAGGGTTTTTTGTGTCTCTATCTCCTTCAGTTCTGCTCTGATCTTAGTTATTTCTTGCCTTCTGCTAGCTTTTGAATGTGTTTGCTCTTGATTCTCTAGTTCTGTTAATTGTGATGTTAGGGTGTCAATTTTAGATCTTTCCAGCTTTCTCTTGTGGGTATTTAGTGCTATAAATTTCCCTCTACACACTGCTTTAATGTGTCCCAGAGATTCTGGTATGTTGTATCTTTGTTCTCACTGGTTTCAAAGAACATCTTTATTTCTGCCTTCATTTCGTTATGTACCCAGTAGTCATTCAGGAGCAGGTTGTTCAGTTTCCATGTAGTTGAGTGGTTTTGATTGAGTTTCTTAGTCCTGAGTTCTAGTTTGATTGCACTGTGGTCTGAGAGACAGGTTTTTTTTTTTTTTTTTTTTTTTTTTTTTTTTTGAGACGGAGTCTCGCTCTGTTGCCCAGGCTGGAGTGCAGTGGCCGGATCTCTGCTCACTGCAAGCTCCGTCTCCCGAGTTCATGCCATTCTCCTGCCTCAGCCTCCCGAGTAGCTGGGACTACAGGCACCCACCACCTCGCCCGGCTAGTTTTTTGTATTTTTTAGTAGAGACAGGGTTTCACCGTTTTAGCCAGGATGGTCTCGATCTCCTGACCTCGTGATCCGCCCGTCTCGGCCTCCCAAAGTGCTAGGATTACAGGCTTGAGCCACCGCGCCCGGCCTGAGAGACAGTTTGTTATAATTTCTGTTCTTTTACATTTGCTGAGGAGTACTTTTCTTCCAACTATGTGGTCAATTTTGGAATAAGTGCAATGTGGTGCTGAGAAGAATATATTTTCTGTTGATTTGGGGTGGAGAGTTCTGTGGATGTCTATTAGGTCTGCTTGGTGCAGAGTTGAGTTCAATTCCTGGATATCCTTGTTAACTTTCTGTCTTGTTGATCTGTCTAATGTTGACAGTAGGGTGTTAACGTCTCCCATTATTATTGTGTGGGAGTCTAAGTCTCTTTGTAAGTCTCTAAGGACTTGCTTTATGAATCTGGGTGCTTCTGTATTGGGTGCATATATATTTAGGATAGTTAGCTCTTCTTATTGAATTGATCCCTTTACCATTATGTAATGGCCTTCTTTGTCTCCCTTGATCTTTGCTGGCTTAAAGTCTGTTTTATCAGAGACTAGAATTGCAACCCCTGCCTTTTTTTTTTTTTCCATTTGCTTGGTAGATCTTCCTCCATCCCTTTATTTTGAGCCTACGTGTGTCTCTGCACGTGAGATGGGTCTCCTGAATATAGCACATTGATGGGTCTTGACTCTTTACCCAGTTTGCCAGCCTGTGTCTTTTAATTGAGGCATTTAGCTTATTTACATTTAAGGTTAATATTGTTATGTGTGAATTTGATCCTGTCACTATGATGCTAGCTGGTTATTTCGCCTGTTAATTGATGCAGTTTCTTTATCGCATCAATGGTGTTTACAATTTGGCATGTTTTTGCAGTAGCTGGTACCGTTTGTGCCTTTCCATGTTTAGTGCTTCCTTCAGGAGCTCTTGTAAGGCAGGCCTGGTGATGACAAAATCGCTCAGCATTTGCTTGTCTGTAAAGGATTTTATTTCTCCTTCACTTATGAAACTTAGTGTGGCTGGATATGAAAATTCTGGGTTGAAAATTCTTTTCTTTAAGAATGTTGAATATTGACCCCCAACTCTCTTCTGGCTTGTTGGGTTTCTGCCGAGAGATCCGCTGTTAGTCTGATGGGATTCCCTTTGGGGGTAACCCAACCTTTCTCTCTGGCTGCCCTTAACATTTTTTCCTTCATTTCAACTTTGGTGAATCTGACAATTATGTATCTTGGAGTTGCTCTTCTCGAGGGGTATCTTTGTGGCATTCTCTGTATTTCCTGAATTTCAATGTTGGCCTGCCTTGCTAGGTTGGGGAAGTTCTCCTGGATAATATCCTGCGAGTGTTTTCCAAATTGGTTCCATTCTCCCCATCACTTTCAGGTACACCAATCAAACGTAGATTTTGTCTTTTCACAGAATCCCATATTTCTTGGGGGCTTTGTTCATTTCCTTTTTACTCTTTCTTCTCTAAACTTCTCTTCTCGCTTCATTTCATTTTTTTGATCTTCAATCACTGATACTTTTTCTTCCAGTTGATCGAGTCAGTTACTGAAGCTTGTGCATTTGTCATGTAGTTCTCGTGTCATGGTTTTCATCTCTATCAGGTCATTTAAGGACTTCTCTGCATTGGTTATTCTAGTTATCCATTCATCAAATCTTTTTTCAAGGTTTTTCATTTCTTTGCGCTGGGTTCATAGTTCCTCCTTTAGCTCTTAGAAGTTTGATCGACTGAAGCCGCCTTCTTTCAACTCATCAAAGTCATTTTCCATCCAGCTTTGTTCCATTGCTGGCGAGGAGCTGCATTCCTTTGGAGGGGGACAGACGCTCTGATTTTTTGAATTTTCAGCTTTTCTGCCCTGCTTTTTCCCCATCTTTGTGGTTTTATCTACCTTTGGTCTTTGATGATGGTGTCATACAGATGGGGTTTTGGTGTGGATGTCCTTTCTGTTTGTTAGTTTTCCTTCTAACAATCAGGACCCTCAGCTTCAGGTCTGTTGGAGTTTGCTTGAGGTCCACTCCAGACCCTTTTTGCCTGGGTATCAGCAGCAGAGGCTGCAGAAGAGAGAATATTGCTGAACAGCAAGTGTTGCTGTCTGATTGTTCCTCTGGAAGCTTCATCTCAGAGGTGTACCCAGCCATGTGAGGTGTGAGTTGTCAGTCTGCCCCTAGTGAAGGATGTCTCCCAGTTAGGCTACTCAGGGGTCAGGGACCCACTTGAGCAGGCTTGTCCATTCTCATATCTCAACCTCTGTGCTGGGAGAATCACTACTGTCTTCGAAGCTGTCAGACAGGGACATTTACATCTGCAGAGGTTTCTGTTGCTTTTTGTTTAGCTATACCCTGTCCGCAGAAGGGGAGTCTACAGAGGCAGGCAGGCCTCCTTGAGCTGCGGTGGGCTCCACTCAGTTCAAGCTTCCCGCCACTTTATTTACCTGCCTAAGCCTTAGCAATGGTGGGCACCCCTCCCCCAGCCTTGCTGCTGCCTTGCAGTTAGATCTCAGACTGCTATGCTAGCAATGAGGGAGGCTCCGTGGGTGTGTGACCCTCCGAGCCAGGCACAGGATATAATCTCCTGGTGTGCCGTTTGCTAAGACCCTTGGTAAAGCTCAGTATTAGGGTGGGAGTGACCTGATTTTCCAGGTGATGTGTGTCACGGTTTCCCTTGGCTAGGAAAAGGAATTCCCTTCCCCCTTTTGCTTCCCGGGTGAGGCAATGCCTCGCCCTGCTTCAGCTCTCGTTCACTGGGCTGCACCCACTGTCCTGCACTGACTGTTGGACATACCCCATTGAGATGAACCTGGTACCTCAGTTGGAAATGCAGAAATCACCCGTCTTCTCTGTCACTCACACTGGGAGCTGGATGCTGGAGCTGCTCCTATTCGGCCATCTTGGTGCCCAATCCCCAGAAATCTTTTAAAGAAGGATCCTCCTTATTTCTGAACTGACCCTGGAAAATAAGTAACAAATGCCATTCTTGTTTCGTACTGATACCAATTTTCACAACCTTCTCTCAGATTTTTCTTTGACACTGAAACACAGATAAGCCATCTTTAATCTTTAGGCATTTTCCCTTTTAGTCTGTTCTGTTTATGTTTGTGCATATATATGTATGTGCATATGCATTTATTTAGTGGCTTGCCTATTTATTTATACCCTGCCTTATTCTGGAATGAATGAAAGGTGGCTTGTGAGAATATAGAAAATATACCAAAATTATAGTGGTTAATAATGGCAAGGAAAGAATACATATGAGACATACATTGGAGTTTATAGTGATCACAATATGTTTAACCTAATAAGTTACTTATTAGTTAATGACTGAGCTGTTAATTTGATTCTAAGGAGACATTTTAAAAAAAAAAAAAGTAAACCTGGTTAGGTACACAATTCACAGGGACCACAGGACATAGTCAAAGTAATTTCTCAGGAGATGCACAATTTATCTTGATGCTGAGACACAGCTGGAGTTTTTTTAAAAGTGAATATGGTACAATCCAATAAATAAACAATGCTCTCAAGACATTATATCTACAGATAAATCTATTTACTTTTTGAACCAAGAGGTTTTGAGGATATCAATTTATAGTAAAATTGTTAATATTGATAGTAATGTTTCAACATATTTTAGTGATACTTTTAATTATTATTCATGTATCTAATGTAAATTAAATGCCTAATATATACAGATCAAGGAAGGCCCAAATATTCCAGACTTACGAGGGGTTTTGAGTTAGGACAAGTTTCTTTATTCCTGGATTAATTGTTATCAGTTGTGTCAAATATATCTGAAAGGTCAAGTGAGAGAAGAGCTGAGAATTAACCATTAGATTTAGCAGTGTGGATGTCACTGTTATACTGATTTTTTTAAAAAATGGAAGAAAAGCTTGCCTGAAGAGAGGTTAAGAGAAAATGGGAGGAAATGAATCTGAAGTGGTAAATATCAACAACCTTGAAGGAAGTTACATTATAGAGGGGGGCAGAAAGGTGGAGTTATAGCTGGTCAGGGATGGGACCAGGAGAAAAGAAACTGTAATACTGGAGGAATTTCAGCCGATTTTTATGCTGATAGGAATTTTTGGTGGAGACAATTGATCAAGGAGGAATTTCTGGATGATGTCCTTGAGTAAGAAAGAGGGATGGGCTCTAGTGAAAGCATTGGCCTTAGTGGGGTACAATCACTCTGTCTATGATACAGAGTAGAGAAGAGAAGGGACTTGTAGGCAATAGTTGCGGTGAAATAGGAAACTGAGTCATCAGCTGAGAGTAGGGATGGGGAACAGATGTTGCATATTTGAGGAGACAGGAGAAGGTATTTAATTGTCATCTAAGGAAATATAGTATGATTGCCAGGTTCCCTTGAGGACACAATTCAAATTAATTCTCATAAATTTCAAGTGGGACTAGTCAGCATTCTTTTGTGCCTTTCTCCAGCCATATCAGCTGTCTGGTAGGGTGTTGTGTCACAAAAGGAGTTGACTTTAACCAATATTGGGATTTTTATGTATGTATTTGTTATTTTTAAAGTTATTATCTTTAAAAAAGTTCAGAACTGATGTATTGCACACTGTGCTTTGAATGACATCAACTTATTTATTCATTCAGTAACTGTTAGTGTGCGACTCCGTGGTTCCTGCTCTCAGGGAGTTCACACCTAGTCCATGTGAATTAATGTTTGTAGAAGGAAAGGCAGCAAGCCTAGATGACATAGGTTTGGCATGCAGAAGGCAGGGACAATCCACTGCCTGGATTGAGTAACTGTTTTGAAAATGTTATGCATAAGTATAAAGATATTATATGACACACCCCGATTTACAATATTTTAAGTCAAAAGATTTCAAACTTTTATCTGAGACCCCTTTCGTACTCTTAAAAAAATTTTAAGGGCCCACAGAGTTTTTATTTATATAGGTTGTATCTATTGATATTGAAATATTAGAAATTAAAATCAATACATTTAAAAATGATTTTAACTTAAAAATAATTAAACCCATTATACAATATTTATGTTCTTATAAACAGCATACTTCTTATGAAATATAGCTTTATTTCTCAAACAAAAAATGTTCAGAATCAAAAGTAGCATTGTTGTTCTTTTTCTACAAATCTCTGATTTAGTAGATGCAACTGGATCTCGTCTCTGCTTCGGCGTTTAATCTGTTGTAATAGCATGCATCACATAGCCTCTGGGAAACTCCACTGTACACTTGGGAGATAATAAGAGCAAGCAAGGCAAAAAGCAGTTTAGTATTATTATAAATATAATTGTGACCTTATGTACTCTTCAAAGGGTCTTGGGGGCTCCAGTAGTCTCTGGAGAACTTTGATAACAACTACTCTCAGTAATAGCTAACTAAAAGGTGAAACAAACATGGACATTAGCTATAACAGTTGCCTATGGGCATTGCACACACACACAAAAAAAAACTTGGCCAACAATTTAATTAGAATAAAAAAGCATTGATTGATAATTTTTAAATTGTGTTTTTTTGTTGTTTTTATTTTGCCTTTTATTTAACCAGTGTGTTTTTTTAAGACAAAGAACTGGTGAAATTTAAGGAATCTGAAATTCAACTATTTTTTAATTCTTCACTGTTCAATCCTGGAAGCTGAGGTTCAAAGAAATAATAATCTATGTCTCAATGATAGTTAAGGATAGCTACATGTTTTAAAATAAAAAATGGAAATCCATTAAATTGAGTCGTCAAAACAATTACGTGCAATTAGTTTAAAAATTGAGTATTTCAAATAATGTAAGTTAGCATCCAGATTCGATCATTTTGAAACTATCCTTTTTGAAATAATTCTAATTTTTTGTCAAACCACGCTATTTATACACTACTAGTTATCCACTGGTGGCTGCTTGCAGATGAGGCATAAGGTCTGGAAGGGATTAAGAAGTTGTTCTTGGCCGGGCGCGGTGGCTCAAGCCTGTAATCCCAGCACTTTGGGAGGCCGAGACGGGCGGATCACGAGGTCAGGAGATCGAGACCATCCTGGCGAACACGGTGAAACCCCGTCTCTACTAAAAAATACAAAAAACTAGCCGGGCGAGGCGGCGGGCGCCTGTAGTCCTAGCTACTCGGGAGGCTGAGGCAGGAGAATGGCGTAAACCCAGGGGGCGGAGCTTGCAGTGAGCTGAGATCCGGCCACTGCACTCTAGCCCGGGTGACAGAGCCAGACTCCGTCTCAAAAAAAAAAAAAAAAAAAAGAAGTTGTTCTTGTTCTTGGATTTTCTTTGTAATTTCAAATCGTTATAAGTCATGGTGACACTGTGGTATATTAGATACTTGCTTAAAGAACATCAAAGACAAAAAGGAAAGAAAAGAATGGAAAGCCATTATAGAGTTTAGAGTTTTCTAAAATCCATTTTCCTTATTAACCATAGTAATAAATACTCCTTTGACAACAAATGTTATTTAATGGGCAATACTTGGAGCTGCTGCAAATCTTCACTATCAATTGTACACTTTAATTAAAAACTAAGAAACAGCATAAATCCCCATGCATCTTTAAAAGAAATGCAAATTCAATGTTATCATTTAATGCTATAAACAGCTGAGATACATATATCAATTTATATCAATTCATATCAATTTATATCAATTCATATCAATTTATATATCAAATATATCAATTTAGTGGAGATATATATTTGTTTATTCATTTCACATTTCAGGAGTATGCCTAGAGGGAGGAAAGATATTATCTGCTCTGTCAAACAGAATAGATATTTATTATTCGGCATATTTTCATAGTGGAGGAAATATACAACCATAAACCTAGCTAGAAATTTAAAACTTATAAACAGAAATTTGAGAAAAGAAAAGACAAAAATGTCTTCAGTATCCTTTGCTCCCCACTTTTTAAGATAGGCAGTTCTCATTTTGAAGCCCGTGCTACTCACACGCTACTGGTTATCCAGGGGCAGCTTGCTTAGAGATGAAGCATAATGTCTCCACATGAGACGAAAAGGGAATAGTCAACAGTAATAATCAACCTTGTTGATTAGACAAGGAGCCTTGAGCTCCTTGTCTATTACATTTGTTTCTTCCAGTGTGCATCAGAGTAATATATCTCATTAAATGTCACCTTTGCTAAGATTATAGGCTTTCCCTAAAGTTAAAGGTAAAAGTTTTATATAAGCGAAACATTTAGTAGAGCCTTAGAAATGCCTTGTAGAACAAACAACATTCATTCAACAAATATCTGAGCACCTAGGACTGTGATTCTCAATTCTGGCTGCACATTAACACCACAAGGGAAGCTGGCATTTTAAAACACCAATGCCCTGGCTGCATCCCACATCAATTAAAGTAGTGTCTCTAGGGTAAGAATCAGCAAGCAGAACTGGTTTTAACTCCCCAATTCTAATGTGCTAGAAACAGCTGTACTCACTGAAGATGAGTAAAACATGGTACTTATCCAGGAAACTTGAAGACTACTGTAAAAGACAAGTATACCTGTAGAAAATTGCACTATAATATAATATGAGATATAGAATATATATTTTCTAGCTATTACAGACTATGTTCTGGGACCTATACATGCATGCTGTTATTTCTAATCTATAAAATCTTGTTAATTTGTTATTATTATCATGTTACAGATGTTGAAATTAGACTTCTAAGAGATTAGTAAATTGACCAAGTTTACATGCTAGTAAATGGTACAATGGCTGTTCAGCCTGCATCTTTCTGAGTCCAAAGCTTGAACCCTTTACACTAAGGCATACTGTCTCTGGGGAGGTTCTCAGAGGTAGTAACATTCGAGTTGAGTCTCTAGGAATGAGTAGACTTGGGTACATAGGCAATGAGATAAGGGCATTCCATGTTGTGCCAAATACAAGGAGGCATGAAGGAGCACGGCTTGTTGAAACACTACATATCATTCCACATAGCCATCTAGAGTGGTCACTGATTATGTTTCATGAATGATGCACTGTGAAAC